CAAAGAGAAGTATCCTCACATCCAGATGAATCCCTATCCTGTGCCCGAGCACTTGGACAACATCCCCACTAGTACTGGCATCCCATATGGCATGTCCATCCCTCCAGAGAAGCCAGTCACCAGTTGGCTAGACACCAAACCGGTCCTGCCCACGCTGACCACTTCCGTTGGCTTGCCATTACCCCCAACCCTCCCAAGCCTCACACCCTTCATTAAGACTGAAGAGCCAGCCCCCATCCCCATCAGTCATTCTGCCGCCAGCCCCCCCAGCTCAGTCAAAAGTGACTCTGGGGCCCCTGATCCGGCCACAAGAAACCTGGGTGGGCTTCCTGAGGAAGCAGAAGTGTCCACTGTGCCACCCTCTAGCAGCAAAAGTGAAGAGAATAGTGTGGCCACCAACTCTGTTCCAACAGCAAGCAACAGCACCCTGGGCTCCCCAGCAACTGACTGTGGCCCAGGAGGTGCCACCACCTTCACCAACCCTTTGTTGCCACTCATGTCTGAGCAGTTCAAGGCCAAGTTTCCCTTTGGGGGACTCTTGGACTCAGCCCAGGCATCAGAGACATCCAAGCTGCAACAACTGGTAGAAAACATTGACAAAAAGGCCACTGACCCCAATGAGTGTATCATCTGCCACCGGATCCTGAGCTGTCAGAGCGCCTTGAAAATGCACTACCGGACACACACTGGGGAGAGGCCCTTTAAGTGCAAAATCTGTGGCCGGGCTTTCACCACAAAAGGGAATCTTAAAACTCACTACAGTGTACATCGGGCCATGCCCCCACTCAGAGTCCAACATTCCTGTCCCATTTGCCAGAAGAAGTTCACAAATGCTGTCGTCCTGCAGCAACACATTCGGATGCATATGGGAGGCCAGATCCCCAACACCCCTGTCCCTGACAGTTACCCGGAGTCCATGGAGTCTGACACAGGCTCCTTCGATGAGAAAAATTTTGATGACCTAGACAACTTCTCCGATGAAAACATGGAAGACTGTCCTGAAGGCAGCATCCCAGATACACCCAAGTCAGCGGATGCATCCCAAGACAGCTTGTCTTCTTCACCTTTGCCCCTCGAGATGTCCAGCATTGCTGCTTTGGAAAATCAGATGAAGATGATCAATGCTGGCCTGGCAGAGCAGCTTCAGGCCAGCCTGAAGTCCGTGGAGAACGGGTCCGTTGAGGGGGATGTGCTGACCAACGATTCGTCCTCAGTGGGTGGTGACATGGAAAGCCAAAGTGCTGGCAGCCCAGCCATCTCAGAGTCTACCTCTTCTATGCAGGCTCTGTCCCCATCCAACAGCACCCAGGAATTCCACAAGTCACCCAGCATGGAGGAGAAGCCACCGAGAGCAGGACCAAGCGAGTTTGCCAATGGTTTGTCTCCCACTCCAGTGAATGGGGGAGCTTTGGATTTGACATCTAGTCATGCAGAGAAAATCATCAAAGAGGATTCTTTGGGAATCCTCTTCCCTTTCAGAGACCGGGGTAAATTTAAAAATACTGCTTGTGACATTTGCGGCAAAACCTTTGCTTGTCAGAGTGCCTTGGACATTCACTACAGAAGTCATACCAAAGAGAGACCATTTATTTGCACAGTTTGCAATCGTGGCTTTTCCACAAAGGGTAATTTGAAACAGCACATGTTGACACATCAGATGCGAGATCTACCATCACAGCTCTTTGAGCCCAGTTCCAACCTTGGCCCCAATCAGAACTCGGCGGTGATTCCCGCCAACTCCTTGTCGTCTCTCATCAAAACAGAGGTCAACGGCTTTGTGCATGTTTCTCCTCAGGACAGTAAGGACACCCCTACCAGTCATATCCCTCCTGGGCCTCTGTCATCCTCTGCCACGTCCCCAGTTCTGCTCCCAGCTCTGCCCCGGAGAACTCCCAAACAGCACTATTGCAACACATGTGGAAAAACCTTCTCCTCGTCGAGTGCCCTTCAGATCCATGAGAGAACTCACACTGGAGAGAAGCCCTTTGCTTGCACTATTTGTGGAAGAGCGTTCACAACAAAAGGCAATCTTAAGGTACCCACTCCATCTGCACCTCACCCGCCCCATCAGTGCCTTCCATTGCTAATGATTGTCTGAAGTACACACTTTGGGATTCATCCGCTCACATACTCAGGGACAGGGGTCTCCAAAGGGCACCACTGCACGTGGCTGACCTGGGAGAAATTAGGTTGCCCATGAAGGTCAGGATTGTGGAAAGCAGGGGAGGGCTGCCTGCAGCTGGCTGCATGTCATAGTGTCTTGAATGATTTGGCACCTAAGTGAAGCAGTGGCCTTTCTCTCTTGTCTCACTAAGTGCACCAAATGAATTGCTTTACCTACCAAATAAGACAGCCTGGCATTGCCATGGGGTGTTGATTAAAGACCTCCACGTGGCCTGTGTGCTGCCCATATCACTTAATAATTACAGTTCTCGGCGTACACAGCAATTTTTCATAACTATGCAGTCCAGCAAGGTTTGTTTTTCTAGAAACAATAACGTCACTGCTTTGCTAATGGGTATTATGATAATTGATTATACAACATTTCCTACTGATATGTGTTGCAAATAGAGCAAATATGCTTACGTTCTAGAGCAATGGTTGAGCGCTCTTACTGTGTACATTTTTCTGTTGACAGAGTATTTCTCTGGAGATTGCTGCCAGTAATGTAGGATGAATAATTACTTTCTGGCTTTTCTCTCTACACGCAAGCCCTCCAATGGGCAATCAGCAAGGGGTACTTTCTTCCCATCTGCAGAGGACATTTATAGGGTAAAAGGTGTCAGATACAATACTTACCATTGCAATGAGAGTGGACATAACAATTCTAACCCTGAAAAGAGCTATCTGCGACTGACTAGCTTGCTTGAGGCCATTACAAACTAAATACAGGTAATAAAAAAAAGAGTAAGTAAGGCATCTTTGCCTGGGAAGAGGAGAGGCGGCCCAGGGCTGCAAAGAACAAACAGGTTATTACTGGTCCACAGGAGTGGATGGTTCCCCTTACTGTTTTCCCTGTCTAGCACGTAATAAGAATAGACATTTGGGCCACTTGCTTTGTGGAGTGTTAGCATATGAGTTGAGATAGATTTAACTATTAAGCTGCTGTCTTGTTTGTTCTCTCTTTCTTTTATCCCCTCTCCCCCCACCCCCACTCTGATCTCAGGTACACATGGGCACCCACATGTGGAATAGCACCCCTGCACGCCGGGGCCGCCGGCTCTCTGTGGATGGTCCCATGACATTTCTAGGAGGCAATCCTGTCAAGTTCCCAGAAATGTTCCAGAAGGATTTGGCGACGAGGTCAGGAAGCGGAGATCCTTCCAGTTTCTGGAATCAGTATGCAGCAGCACTCTCCAATGGGCTGGCGATGAAGGCCAACGAGATCTCTGTCATTCAGAATGGTGGCATCCCTCCAATTCCTGGAAGCCTAGGCAGTGGGAGCAGCTCACCTATTAGTGGGCTGACGGGAAATCTGGAGAAGCTCCAGAACTCAGAGCCCAGTGCTCCTCTGGCTGGCCTGGAGAAAATGGCAAGCAGTGAGAACGGAACCAACTTCCGCTTCACCCGCTTCGTGGAGGACAGCAAAGAGATCGTGACAAGTTAGAGCGGCCACACACTCGAGACATAGCATTCGTGTTCAGAATGCACCTAGGTTGCCTCCTGCTCCTGTCCTGGCCCCTACCCTCCAGTCCCCCGGTCTATGAACTCCAACGTTATGAAGACATTCTTTTGTACTTTGTTCAACTTCTAGAGTTCTAAGAAAGCTTATTTATTAGTGATATAACCTTGCTTTGCAAACAGAATGCAAGCGTTAACTTTGGTCTTCTGTATTTTGGACTAAATACTAATTGACTAGAGTGCTGTAAACTTGCTGTAACATTTATGGCAATTGCAAGTTGCCCTGCTAGGCGGTCTTAATCTGGCATTAACTTATTTTCTATATCCAGTTTAATATGAACCTGGTGTTGATGCAATGCCTCCGTGATGCATTAGATCTCTAATAAAGTCTGTATATAAATGTACACTTTGATCCTGCTGGAAAATTTTATCAGCAAACACATTGTCTAATCTTTCAAAACAGATTTAAGGAAAGGACTGAAAGTACAGACTGAACAGTGTGATTCTTTGAAAGGTTTGGGTTTTTGTTTTTTTCATTTTTATTCTAAAATTCAACCTGCTTTTTTGTTTTGTAGATTTAACCATTTCCGTTTTGAACTATTTGTATTGTGCTTTTTACTTGAGTCGTCCTCAATGTTAATAAGTTTCTGTACAGTAATAAGCACGCAGAATTCTTTAGAGGAAAAAAAAAACAAGTGTTGTTTTGGTAGTTGAAACTGAGACGTAACATTTTGCCTTGTAGGTATATTCACAATAGAAATGTGTGCTGGAATTTCACAATGCTGCTAAGTATAGCATCTTGAACAACCTTCAGTGGAGAAAATGTAGATGCTCTTGTATATACAAAAAGAAATATCACTTTCATTAAAATGTACATACATTCCTTACAAGAGCAGATGCTTCTTCTTGATTGAGAGAGCAGGTATAGTGTTTGTTTATTTTGTATTAGGTATGGAAGAAAAAAATTGGACTGTTACATGCACTTTCTTGGAAAGTTGAAAGGGGGGGTCCAATTTCTTTAACATTTAATACTTACTAACAACAGAGATACTGTAATTTTACTCAAGTAATCAAATACAATTTTTTTTGCAACAGATAAAACAACATACTGTGTCTGTGTTTTTAGAGTGCATTTCTATTTAGCCAGACCCCAAAATGTATCTTAACATTTCCCCAGGCACCAGTAAATTGTGTATGTGAACGAGTATCTCTCTCTAAATAAGAAACTGTAAAGGGTGTAACAGAAACGGGTTTGCACGGGCCTATGATTTCACTTCGAAATGTGGAGGACCTAGATATTTTCCCAATATCCATTACTTGTTTGGGAATGTTACTCTGCCGTCCCTCAGCCGCCCCTCCCCCAGAGGAAAAAATAAAAAGTTGTCATTGGCGATCTCATCCTGACAGGTAAGTTTCCTTAAGCAGGATATGTGGGTTTGGATTTCAGCTTTAACTATTCTGGTTTCATTTCACTGGACTCAGTGGCTTTTTTTTTTTTTTTTCTTCCTTTCCTTCTTTTGGCGGCTGAGAGCCTCTTTGCTGGAGAATTCCCGGTGCAGCAGGGTTATATAATCTGACTCAGAAACTGGGCCTCAACCCAGCGAGGTCAACATGTTCTTTATTTAATTAGTCTTTTAGGCATTTAAGAGCATGCATATTTAAAAGAAAAGGTCTATTATAAAGGAGATGTAAAGTCAACCTGAATACTTCATCATCAAAATTCCATTTGATTCTTCCTCCTTGCTCCTTTTGTTCGAGGGGAAAGTAGGTTTTGTGCACGATTTGGGGGTGAGCAATGGGAAGGGGTAGAAGTTGAGTCCACGGGCATTTGTTGACTGTGTTTTTAAGGGGATGGCAAACTGTAGTCTTAGGCGGTGGCTGCGCCCAGGTAAGGGTGAATTAACTGAAACGTTGGGCGAAAGTTTCAGCCACTCGGGGCCGCGCCCCCAGGACCTCAGCCCCGAAACTTGAAAGCCCGGGGTGGTCGGGCCAGGACGCAAAGGCGCCTGCAGCATCAGCTCAGCCCCGCGGCCGGCCGCTGTGTCTGCAGCCCTGCTGAGCCTAGGCCTCTGAGCAGGACCCAAACCAGAAGAGGGCGGGATGGGAGTGTGCCGGCGTCCCAGTGCAGACTCATCCCGATGTCTTAGCACCCGAAAATGTGGCCGGTGAGATTTCTCGAATTCGCTTTGCGGGTCCGGTTCTCGCCGCCCCCAAGTGTGGACAAGGAGAGAGGCCAGGATTCCGGTCCGAAGCTCTGGTTCCCCACGAGCCAAACTGGGTGGCTTTCGTTGCGCAGGAGGCTCAGCACCTTCCCGGGGCTGGGAGTGGCGACTCGGGGGACGCGGGTGGGGCCGGGCCGCGCGCTTCGAGGGCCCCGGCGCTGCTCTGACCCCAACCAAGCCCGGGGACGTCCCGGCCGGCGCGGGCAGGCCACCGCGAGGGGCGGGCTGCGGCAGCGCCCTGCACGCCCCGCCGTCCCCAAGCGCGCAGCAGCTGGCTGCGGTGGCCGCAGCGCGTCCCGCCCCTGTCCCCGGGCTCCCGCGCGCCGGGTGGGGCGCAGGGTCAGGCCGGGCACACCGGGGCTGCAAATCCGTTTCCGCTCGGCGGGCGGCGGGCGGCTGGGGGCCGGGGGCCGGCTCGTTTTTCTTTCCCCTCTGTAGCGTTTTTTGAAAGTGTTAAAACCAGCACACGTAGCTTTTCGTTTAGACAGATTTTCGAAGGCAACCGAATCCCTTAGGGAAAGGTTGTGGTCTCTGTCCCCTCTCTGTTTTTATCCCTGCCTACCTATGTATCGATTGCCTTTCTAATCTATTGATCAGTACCTGCTCATTCCCTTTTCCATGGATTTCCAAAACTAGAAAGTGCCCTCGGCCCGCCTTCTCCTCCCTGTGATGAATACGCTGGGCCCAGGGCTCAGCCCAGCAGAGGAGAAACGGATTTAAGCGCCTTCAGCCACAGGCTTGGTTGAAGGCGGTGATGGGAGCGCACCTCCCCCACTCCGCCTCCCCTTCCGCGGCCACCGCGCCTCGCTCTTTGGCTTTCTCTTCTCCTGAAACTGGAGGTGCATCGTGGCCGCTTTGGAATTGTGCAGAGAACCGAATTTGCTAAACGAACAGTTGTTGCAAAGTGGGATAACAACTAAGTTCACAAAAATTTTTAGCTAAAAATATTCACTTTGGTGACATTTTTGCAGTTTTTTTTATGTGAATTATAAAAATACAGAAAAGTGCAGTAGTTTCTAGCAGCCCAGATTCACAAACCTGAGTAACTTCTGTGGATTTATTTCTTTTCTTGTCTTTGTTGTTGTTGTTGTTGTTGTTGTTGTTGTTTGGCTTTGCTCTTCCTGCCTGCCTTGCCCCTGTTGTCATTTTCTTGTCTTTCTGACTTTCCTTCTCTCTAGTCCTTTATTCCCTACCCCCCTCCCATCTCAACTGCTCCCCCCACTCCCAGAGATGGGTTTCCCTTTCTGGAAAATATTCTTAGGGAGCAATTTGGTGATTGGCAGGAACCCAGAGAACCAAGGAGACCCAAGCTGCCCAGAGACTTGGGTGGGAGGCCTGTAGGTAAGTGTGGGCGCATCTTTGCAGATCCACTGAAGATAACTAAAGCCAACTGGGCTTTCAGCTTTCACACACATCCAGTCTCCACAGGCCAGGTTCATTCTTATGGCTTTGGGGGAGCTAGGGACCAGGGTGAAGGCAAACTTTTAAAATTATTAATAAAAAGAGGAGAGCATTCAAACAGAAAATCCTAAATGATTTGCAGTTGACATAAATTTCTAGCAATAGAGTATTTGCTTATTGTTTTTGGCATGTTGTGTATGTCAAGAATGAAAGAACTTTAAAAGGAAAAAGAGGGGGAAAATCTCCCAGTCTGTTAAAACTTAGCAGTCTTGTTAGAAAAATAAAGCCATGGGTTCTTTACTGGGAGTTGCACACTCCACCGCAAATGAAACAAATGTTGGGGAGGCTGACAAAGTGGGAAAAAAAAAAGTAAAGTGAATTTCAAAGAGCTCCATGGCAGAGTACAATCTGAGATTCACAGAAAAGTGGAGAGGGATAAGACAGGAATTAGGTCATCTCATCCAGACCCCAGGAAATATGTTTAGATCAAAGCCACTCCGTTAGAATAAACAAAACAGGACCCACTGGGCCCTACCAATATTTTCATCTCAGTACTAAAAGCTGCTAATCTAACCAGCTCTATTTGATGAAAGGGGGTAAAAATTACAACTGTAAAAATGACTGAGTTTTTTTTTAAAAGTTTCTCAACTGTAATAGGATGATAAAGATTTAGACTTGAGCTAAAAAGTAACAAGATCCAGGCCCAAATCAACACAAACTTCCTGGAATTTTAGCACTAAGTAAATTATCTAATCCTAACCCATTGTCCCCTCCCTGCCACCCCCCACCCATGCAACTGAGTATGCCAGATGATTTACATAAAGAAAAAATTGTTAAATTTTAACTGCAGTCTGAGAACATTGCTGGAGGTTGGCTTTTGGGTTCATTTAGTCTACATTCCTTAAGGATCTATGTGTTTTCTGTTTGCTCACTAACACCCCACCACCACCTCGGTGCCTGATCCCCACCCCCCCAAGGTGGTTGTTGGGGTAGCTGCTGGCCTTACTGTGTGGATGCTCATTTAAGCCCAGTCTTAAAGATATGGTCTTTCTTTCCACTGTCAAGGGAGATTGACAGAGGCTGGAGATTATGTCACATGAGCCTGGCTCTGAATCCACACACTTAGGCAGTGGCTGATATTTTAGCAGTTAAGCCCAAATTCCGTATAAGGTTTTCTTTCACCACAGAGTTGATGGCCTTAAACCAACCACCAGGCAACATTCGATAGATAGAAACACCAAGAAAAGAGACAGGAAATCCCAGAGAAGAAAATTCAGCCAGGCTAAATCCAGGGTTGTAGTTCCTTGCTGAGTCTGGTTTCCTCTTAACTGTTTAGACATATGATTTGGCTTCTCCTGTGTTTCTGTGTCCATCTGTCTTAAGGTGAACAAAGACTCATGGACTGCATGTCAGCTTGGCTCTGGCCCCCTGAGAAGCCAGGATGACAAGATGGAGAATGTGAGGAGCCTTTATAAACACCACAGGAAACAGGCTGTTTTCTGAGTGGGGCCCTTGGTGGCTCACCTCACAGAGGACAATTCCAGGATCAGTTTTCCTTATGTTTCATGGGTGGATTTGAAGACATGCAAGGTACAAAGTTGGAGGCTGCATAGAAGTCGATATTTCTTTGTTAGACCCATAGCAGGACCTCACCCAGCCTCTCTCTGAGCACAGCTAAATCCTGACGGAGTCCTTTGGCATCCAGACGCCAAGAGTCCAGGAGTTACATATTTTAATAGTAGCTACATTCAGTATGAGGCCCAGCCGTCACCTGTCAACTCTTTAGATTCTGGCCACTTTCAGTCTTCCCACTACTGCAACACCTCCTCTACCCTACCACTTATTTAATAATTTAAGCGGGCTCTGTTTCTGAAGTTTAAGTTGATTTATTCTGGAAAGAATGGGAAACACTAGATTCAATTCTCTCTGACAGTCTTATCATGTGCAGGAGAAATCTTTAAAGTATGTCTCACAAGGATGACATGCCCCAAATCAAAACAGCAGGAAAAGATCGGCTGTGACGCTGGGCTCCATCCTATCTTAGTTCTCTTCTGACCAGCTCTGCCTCTTCCACTGCCCATGTGTGAGGTCTGTGGGTCTTAAAGAGTTTCACTGAAGCCCTCCCCCTGCCTCCTTACCTGTCATCACACACCTTAGAACCAGCCTGGAGTTTTTCAGACTGGATTGTGACTCATTAGTGCATTATGAGGTCAGCATAGTAGATCACTGCCAGTGTTATGCTTTAGTGTAATAAATAGACAATGTCAGAGTGTATCTCAGGTAATAAGGTCAATAGTGTTAAGCTTTTGTTTCATTTGTGTACGATGTATACAAGGGCTTGATGATAAGTGTGCCTCTTAGCCTGAGTTGCCATTGACAAAAACCTTTTAAAAAGTATGATTTCCCTCTGTTTTTCAGCAGAAACACAGAATTAAAGGCTTTAGTGAGAGGGCTGGCAGCCAAAACTGGGAATAGATAGAGCAATAATGAAGGCACAGGTAAACGGCAAAGGTCCCCCAGTTCTCTTTGCGGTCACATAGGCATTCTATAGTTCTGTAGTGGTTATATCTACAGGAAAAGAGAGATCAGCAGTTGGGCTCCTGGTGCCAGTTCGTGTGTGTTCTCTTTCCTGGGCTGCTTCCACATGGAGGATTTTAATAGCATTTTGTCGTCAAGGGGATTTCTCCTTAAACACATGCTAATGCAAAAGAGGAAACAAAAACTGAGTGGGGAAGCTTAATCACTGCAGCAAGCTGCATGGTGTCTTTAAGATCTCTTCCCCCATTGGTGACTGGGCCCAGTTCTTGGGTAACAATGATAATATCCTTCCCAAATCCTGCCATTTCTAAGCATCCATCATCATTATACTCACTGTCGAGTTTACTGCAGCCTAATATAGAAGTCCCAAGAAATTATTCCTGGAGAGTCCCATTAGAAACACCACTCAGGGGCTGAAAGTGTAGCTCAGTGCTTGCCTAGCATGTGTAAGGACATGGGTTTGATTCCCAGTATTACAAAGGAAAGAAAAATGGCTCAGAAAAGAGGCTGTCTAAAGACTTTTACAAAGATAACAGTTGAACATACACACACACACTTCCTAAATCTCCCAACTGTGCTCAGCAATGAACTTATTTGGATAGAAAGAAGAACTAGGATTTGATTGATTGAGGTTTTGCCTTCTTAGTCTGGCTTTAGAAGTGGCATGACCACATTTACAAGTTTCTTATCCTGATTCTCAGCCCAATATTTCTTATTCAAGTTATAATTAAAAGAGTTACTGCGACAGTTCTCTTTCATCCACACCCTTAGCTGGGTAGCTTACAGAGCCTTCCCGTCATGGACAGGGACCTTCCTTGCCCTGTGGGTTGGACCAAGGAACTTGCTGTGGCCAGAAACATAAGGTAGATGCCATGTGCGCCAGTTCCAAGGGGGGGTCTCCAGATACCTACATGTTTCTACCTGTGCCCTCATACTCTGCTGCCACCATGAGAAGCCCCTGCCAGCTGGCTTCAGGAAAGGAATGGAAGCTCCTTGGAGAAAAG